AAAGTAGTGAGGGCCTCGCCCACCTATCAGGTCTAGTTAAGAATCCTTTTGGAACAATTTTGGGGCTGCACGAAAAGCCATGTTGATGTAGCTAGTTTCGACGACGAATAACATTTTAAAGAAAACCCCCACGTTTTGTATCATAATTTTGTCCAATAATGGCAAGTTGCTACCGATACAAGACAGAGTTTTAGCTCCAGCTCCATCAATTTCTATGCACTCTCTGAGACATATTATATGTACTTTGATGGCTTTATATTTGATCAATGGTTACGTTTAGTGTTTCTTACTTACAAAAATCACAGCCGCCGTTCAAAAAAAAATGATTCTTCTTTGTGATAAGTTATTTTTTCACCGGGAAAATGATTAACTACCAGATTGAAAACCCCGCTGTGGCGAACAAAGTCTAGGTCGCATTTTCTCATTTTAGATGTATGTACATATAATATTCTAATGATTAATAAACTATTTTGTAAGTAATGAATTGGCTATAAAATAAACGTAAAACATTTGTAAAGTTAAGTTTTGTTAGGAAATAATTACTTTTTGAATTGGTATTTACAACAGAAAAACATATTTTAAATATATAAATATGCCAACTTTAAGTATAAATTTTAAATTTCTATATCACTTAGAGACTTTTATTTGGTGGTTTCATAATATAATATCCAATGATTAGAAAAATGCACCAAAGAACACAGAAATTGAATGATATATACACTTCCAATCACTTATATGCCTCATTAACCATGCCGCTTATTGCCAAGGTAAACAAGTAGCATGCCCTTCGAATATAAACATCCTGTCCATAAATTAAAATCTCGAAGCAAAACGGGAAAGGAATAACATAAATATTTGACTCTATTTACTACGAGACAAACATTGGCGCTACCAGCGGCAGAAATGCCGTGCCGCTCCCACTTGTTCATGGTAGTTAACCAGTTAAGTTGATATCAGCATTTCAACCAAAGCAACTGTCACTTAAAAGCGGTACCTGCGCTAATTACTCTTCTAGATGCATAATCAACCTTTTTTTTGTTTTTTTTTAAACTTACCAAAGATTCATTCGGTTCGAGGCACTTGACACATGCGCTATGCTTCATTTCTCTGGCCATCCTGTGTGTCATAAATGTCCCGTCCTGACAAGGACTGCATTTGACCATATCGTGGTACTCACCCTCGCCACAAGGTGGGGACACATCAGAAAACTTAGGCGAGAAACCAGGCCTGGAAGGAATGTTGGCATCGCATTCAGCATCTTCGTTCATCTCACACTGGGCGTAACTCAAGCAGAACGCTACAACTAACGTATTCCAATAAACATGTCGTATCACCATACCTCTTCTATCCTGGCCGTACATCTTATAAGCCCGTTCACTTTATCACTGAATTCACTAAGCAATAGCCTCGATCTAAAAATTTAGTATTTTGAAAAAAAAAATTCCTTAGTCCATTCAGAAAATCGCATTTGAATGAACGCCGTGCGATAAAGATATAATCTGTTCCACATTACCGCGTATTTGTAAAGTAGTTGCGTGGTAGTTTTCCCATTAATATCGCAATACTGAAAACATTCTCAGAAACGGGGTTTTCCATACGGGAGCGAATTTCTCGTTTTTTATTTCAACCGAGACATTACACACAACTGACACTGCCGAAAATCAAACCACACATTAATAAACTACTAAGGGTGGGTACCAACCCCAACCCCGCTCCCTTTGTAACACAAACACACAGACAAGGCATACGTTTTCCAAAGGCTACTCCTTTCATTGAAATGTCGCAAGCGTCATCTCTGATTGCTGACTGAAATGTCTGCCAAAGCAGTCAAACGAGTTGTCTATTTAAATGCACTGTCATCGGCGGTGTAAAATATCTCTTAAATGCACTGTCATCGGCGGTGTAAAATATCTCTTAAATGCACTGACATCGGCGGTGTAAAATATCTCTTAAATGCACTGTCATCGGCGGTGTAAAATATCTCTTAAATGCACTGTCATCGGCGGTGTAAAATATCTCTTAAATGCACTGTCATCGGTGGTGTAAAATATCTTTTGAAAATCCTTTATATCAACTTCTTTTGTTTTTGGTTCGCGGGTGGCTGACTGGTTGGGTGGCAAAATCTTCGGAAGGCTAATCGACCCACATCCCGTCACCCTGACGAGCTAGAACTTGGTAAATAGACTCGTTGCCGATGACAACACATTCTAACAAATTTTCAGCCACAACCGAAAAGAAAACAGTTTTTTTCCTGTTTTTCATAGGGAAGATGAAGAATAATTCTTATAACTGTGCTAAATAAGTTGTTGTTGTTGTTTTTTAAATATCGCAAGCGGGTTTGGTGCGTAACTTTTTCTTTTGTTTTTTTTGAAATAGTTCTGTCGTGCAAAAGCAGGTGGGTCATTAGAACATCAATATGATTCAAGCGCGTGTAAAAATTGTGCAGTTGTGAGCCTGTGGGGGGTGGGGCACTAATGGGGATTATTTTAAAGTGCGTTACTTGCATGCATGCTTGGCCAAATTTTCACCCCAACCCCATTGCTCAATATTACATTTTATAAAGGGTATATAGGGAAAACATTTTTGGGGGGGTTGTTCAATTAGTGTGCTGAGCATAGTTGTATATTTTTATCATTGAAGTTTCCTTTTGACCATCACTAATGATAGAATTATTCTAAATGTTCAGACTTTAGACTACATCAGAGGTCCCCAAACTTTTTTTTGTCTCGTAGACCACCTGCCATGATTTTTTCGGTTTTGGGTAGAACCCCTGCTTGCCCGATAATGATTTTTTTTTTTGCTGACACAGACCCCTTGCAAGTTGTCATCGACCCCTGGGGGTCGATATAGACCACTTTTGGAATCTCTGGACTACCTGTATCTTGATTTCCAGTTTTGTAATTACTTCTTCTTCCCCAAATCCCACCCCAACACCAACGACAATTTTTTTAAACATGATAATAAATAAATGAATTAAATTAAAAATTAACAATTTTATTTGATGCATGTAGCTTAAGGTAGTTCTAATTTGCATGTGGTGTAAGTTTCCCAGGAGCGCCCGTACGGTTGCTGGCGCCGTAGGCAAAGCTTGGTGCCCTTTTGTATTATCATAAACATTTTTGCAAGGAAAAAAAGTAGTTGTTTGGTAATGAGATAATTACCAATGTTGTTGTTTTTGTAATTAACAATGAATAATAAAATTGTTTTCTTTACTTTATTTGGACTGTATGAACAATGAGCCTACCGATGATATTTTCTTTCTAGCTTTCAGATTTCAGATCATCAATTTTTTTTATTGCATCTACTTTCTATATTTATATTCTTTACAACATCATTTTCTAGAGACGCGATTGTCCAAAGAATTCATTCTGTCTTGAGACATGGGTGATTGTCAATATGTTTTTATACGTTTTAGTTTACTAAAGCTTCTCTCCTCAGCCGTTAGAGTAATTGGTACTGTAAGCATTATTCTTAATGCCACCCATAGATTTAGCATGACATCCAGCACCTTAACGGTGTTTCTAAATTTGGCTGCTTCTGCTAGAAGCTTTAAATAATGAGGAAAAAGTTATTTGCCTATGTTTAAGTCAGCCAACAGTTCACATCCATATATATCGCTATTATCTTGATACATTGACTAATTCTACGAAACTTGACATTCTACTATGAGCAATTATTTGTCTGGTCAGATTTTTTTAGGGCATTTAAAAATTCTCATGTGTTATTGAAACTTTGTAACTGTTCCAAAGTTCTTTGACAAAGAATTCAAACTATATTTCTCCTGTATTAAATTGAATACTAGATTTGTAAAGATTTTTTTCTGGGTCATATTCGTTTGAAACCCCGTCAGTGCACTGTTACACAAACACAGTGCCCTGGCACACAAACACAGTGCACTGTTACACAAACACAGTGCCCTGGCACACAAACACAGTGCCCTGGCACACAAACACAGTGCCCTGGCACACAAACACAGTGCCCTGGCATACAAACACAGTGCACTGGCATAAAAACACGGTGTCCTGGCATACAAACACAGTGTCCTGGCATACAAACACGGTGTCCTGGCGTACAAACACAGTGTCCTGGCATACAAACACAGTGCACGGGCATACAAACATTATAATATTTAAAGAAATATCTTCCATGGCTCCCACATTAAATGCCTGTTCTTATTTAGGAAGATCGCTGATGGAAACCTAAGCAGGATGACCCCCAGGGCAACTGACCGAGTTGCCGTTACCTTAAGCCGGCATTGAAGGTGACCTGTGTTTTTCCAGTACAGTACTAGTCTCTGGACAGTTGTCATGGTTAGATGGGAGTTTTAACCAGTTCAGTTACAGAGTTCAAAATGAAAATAAATAATGTATCAAAAGATCAAGATCATCTTTTATATCAACGCATAATAAAAAAAAAATGTAGCATCACGAAAATTACTTTTTTCTTCAAAAGATCGCCTCGCAGACAGAAGCTTTCTCCATAAAACTACAAATAATTATTTATTTGTCGACACCTTTGGCAATAAAAACCAGCATCAATGTATTGGTTTTAAATTATTAATTGTTTTCTTAATCTCCTGGTTTTAAATTTGAAAACAAAAATGGTCATCTCAGTGCCGTGGAATGTGTTGTTGGTGTCTTAAAACGAATCTTTCATTGGTCATAAAAACACGTGATTACTTACTTAGACAGACTTGCTCCTTTGGAAAGAACTATCCAGTGCATCGAACAACCTGATGAATCATCTTGATTAATTTCATCTTTCAACACTGGCTGCCGGGGATGTGGTGATGGCTAATACTTTTCAATTCGGGAAGATCAATAGCAAGTGTGGAAACAATATCCATGTGTTAGCAATGTCCATGTGTTAGCAATGTCCATGTGTTAGCAATGTCCATGTGTTAGCAATGTCCATGTGTTAGCAATGTCCATGTGTTAGCAATGTCCATGTGTTAGCAATGTCCATGTGTTAGCAATGTCCATGCCTACAGAAAAAGCCATGCCTACACAATGTCCAGTATCATAAAATTTTCACCCCTAAGTGGATTCAAGCGTATCCACTGCACATTTAAATGATGGATATTTCTCCTGACCATCCAGCATGTCGGGTGTATTCATTCGGATTTGGAAAACCAACAAAAAAACTTACAACTCTGAAATATCCTGAACAAGATTAATTTGTTTGCGCCATTCCTGGTTCTCTTAATCATCAGTTTGTATGGCGTTGTTTCCCTTTGATGAATATGATCATTAAAACTATCCGTTTGAGATTCCTTGTGCTGGGCGTATTGTGTTGATTTAAAAAATCCACTCATTCTTTAGCTGTCCTCGTGCATTTAGAAATAACAGCAGCACACAGGAGTCGTTGTAATTTATTGTAAAAGGATATCAGAGCGTGGTGCTCCTCGGTAACATTTGTACCTAGTATCTATTTGCTGATGCCAAAAGCAGTTTCGATAAAAAGGTCCCTTTATCTGAGTGAGTACTACACCTAAAGTTTAGAGTCTCGATAAAAAGGTCCCTATATCTGAGTGAGTACTAGACTTAAAGGTTACATTCTCACGTATTTTATCAACAGAATTTGGAAAATCAACAACACAATATACATCGTAATATCGTCTGGTGTGTTCGAAGGGGCTAGACCTCCTGGGACTGAAGCCGTTGACAAAACCACAGCTTCGGGGTCCCTTATGGACACTTCAGATTCTCCTGTGGTCGTGGTTGGTGTTGTGGTCAAACATATTCCCGCCTCCACGACCATGTCTCCGTGGGGGCAGCAGACTGTGTTCAGGTCACCGTGACATTGACGTCCTTCGTGGTTTGAAAACATAAAGATTCCCAGTCCGCACACATCGCACCGTGCGCATTCAGACTGACAGGGTTTTCCCGGTACACTCCTTCTGTAATATCCATCTTCACACATGATCTTTGCGTCTCTTGTCTTGGTGCACGGTTCTTCAAGGATTTCAAACTAAAGATTGACAACAACAAAATGGATATGATCGATATGCCTCCATCAAATGTTTATGTCTGAAGAATTCATGAATTGTACATATATTTCTTTTATTATGAACCAAATATCAAAACAGATTCGGTTGCTGTTAGTTGTTTGTTTTTTTAGTAAGATAATAAGTATGATAATAATTTCTGAATAAAATGCAGTTAATGGCTCATTGGGCGTAACAAAAAATAAAATAAATCTCACTTGGTTAGACATAGAAGGAAAAATATAGCTACATACATTTAATACAAATTTTTCGCGATAAAGTATTTTGAAGGATCTCACCTTGTCTTCATCGGGCCTGTAGCAATCTGAGCATCTGATGTAGTTTCCTTCCCTGGCCATCTTTCTCGTCATGAACGTCCCATATTCACAAGGCTCACAACTGAACCAGTCGAGATACTCTCCTGCACCGCACCCTGGTGGCTGGGCATTGGACGTTAAGGCCATGGGCAGAAAATCCGGACGTGGTGATTGCCTAGAGGGGATGTCTTCGTCACAAGTTCCCTGACCTGGGGCTGTGACTATCTGGCTTAGGATTACTACAAAGAGTATCCCATTGGACTTCATCTTCTTACACGTGATAACGCGCTAAGTCAATGGTTGAAATACAATATTCGTATTGAAACGAGGATATTCTTTTTATTTCTATTGAAACCGATTCTGTTTGATACTGTGTGTTGCTGTTGTTCGCCCTCCGCGTGCGATGATGACCAAGACCATTATTACACGGTGAGTAAGCAGGTGGCTTGCCAGTCCTATTGTGACAGAAAATTTTCCCGCACGTTGTTTTGGTTTCACTAGGAGTTAAGTCGAAATACTTGGTAAAATCTAATATTCATCAATCCATCAATGATTAGCTGATTTCAATGCTTAGATTTATGTTATAATATTTTCTCAAGTTAAAATTGCCTTTGATTTATTTTGTTCTATCGGCTTCTTATTGCCCACAATGGCGAAATATTTCACTTGACTTCATTCCTAAAATAAAAATAAGAAACAAGACCTTTAATAAATTATTCTTTTTAAACCAAACTTACTTTTTCATTGACAGAGAATTGAGTCATTAATGTCCACAAACTAATTCATCGTTTTGATGCGGAAACAAAATATCTGATATGAATGAGTTCAGTTGCATTTTCAAATCTAAATATTTCTGAATAATTAATGATCCAGAAGATATAGATGAATTAAATTCATCCTTTAGGCTAAATGGTAGACCCATAATGTGAGGCTAGATGGTAGACCAACAAGTGGGGCTAGGTGGTAGACCATCCTGCTAGGCTAGAGGATAAATCATCATGTGACGCTAGATGGTAAACCACCATGTGAGGCTAGATGGTAGACAAGCAAGTGACGCTAGATGGTAAACCACCATGTGAGGCTAGATGGTAGAGAAGCATGTGAAGCTAGATGGTAAACCACCATGTGAGGCTAGATGGTAGACAACCATGTCATGCTAGGTGGAATAATTTTCTAAAACACATCAAATAATTTCCTACACGATAAATGTACTCCTCCAACGGCGGTGCAATTAAGGCGTTATGACGTGTGCAATGAACAAAGTCTTTCAAAGTGATCGCGTTATAGGAATGGTAGGTGGGAGGCTAAGATAGCAAAGTCGTCCTGTAGACTTAAAAGACCGTATCACTGTCTCTCTTCATTATTTAAGCTTCCGCATAACTCTTTCTTCATATTTCTTATCTACAGTTAGGCTAACTTTACCAGTGAAGTTGAAATAATATACACATGTAAATAAATAAATAAATATGTATATTTATACATATTTATGCATATGTAAATAGATAGATACATAATCAATACATTGATCGTTGGCACTAAATAAATAGAAGAAGAAATCAATAAATGGAAGTATTAAAAATGTTAACATTCTTTTCAGAGAGAGAGAGAGAGAGAGAGACAGAGAGAATGCCTAAAAAGAATTATCAATTCAATTTACTTTAGGAAATGATACTAAATTTTAAAATAAATATTAAATGGCTTTACCTTCGCTTGACAAGTCGAAACTAATGGTGACCACACCCTCCTGCTTCGCTCTTTTACAACCTTGTGACAATCCCCTAACATACCACAGATAAAACCGGAAAATTCCACGCCATGGTTGCGGGAATTCAAGATAAGTTCATGGACAAAAAAATGATTCTTAATTTTACGTCAACAAAGCATAATTCTTTAAATTTGTTACAGGTTTATTTATACCTTCTGAGACCGTGTTTATAAATTGTATACGTGTGTTTTTAAATTGATGTTATCTTCATGGATAAAATTATATTACCCGGGCTTACTCTATATTTAATGTCTTTTATGATGATGATAATTGGATACTTGTATAGCGCTTGTCTCCATGCTATTTTGCATGCTCAAAGCGCTCTGATGTCATAATCTCTATTTAAATAAGAATGTTCGCAGATGGCACGGCCGTGTATAGGACGATCGCCAACAGTTCTGACCAGGACCAGCAACAGCAGAATCTCTATCGGTTAGCTGAGTGGGAGAGGGGCTGGGACATGGAATTTAACCCTGCCAAGTGCCAGACACTCTCGGTTTCTAGAAGTTGTACTACTCTACACCACCCTTGCGAACTGCATGGTCATATACTTGAGCCAGTTGCCTCCGTAAGTGAGCTCTGTGTTACCATTCAAAGAGAGGTCCGCTGGGACGAGCATACTAACAATGTGTGCTACAAGGCAAACAAGACCCTTGGGCTCTTAAGTCGAAAACTAAAGATCGGCAACTCGAGTGTGAAAGAAAGAGCCTATAAAGGCTTTGTCCGGCCACTTTTAGATTACGCATCTTCAGTGCTACCCATTTACCCAGAGGAGCATCGACAGGTTGGAGGCGGTCCAGCGACGGGCATCACGCTTTGTCCTGAACGGCTACAGGAATACTTCTAATGTTGGCAGCATGCTGGAAACACTGGGCTGGTAACCCTTTGGAGGAACTGCGACGACTATTCAGACTCTCCATGATGTACAAAATAAATATCGGCTCTTCCAGCATTAAACAGAAACTCTTCCCTCTCTTCAAAAGACAACGAGGCCATTGCAGGCAGTTCCGGCTCATACCATCAAGAGCCCAATACAGAAACTGATAATTCCTACAAAGGACAATCAGGGTCTGGAACAAGCTTCCAAAAAAAAAAAAACAGTTGAGGCGACAACATTTGAAAATTGTGCGTCTATTGCCTCAGGCCTTCCAACCCCCAGTTCATGATATCCTCACCGAGTGGCCCTTGCAACCAGTGAAATATCCTCTTCAAAGTCATGGCACAGAAACATTACATATCCCCTCTACGTGCATAAGAGCCAGAATGATCAATAAATTCATTGTGGGTCTTTAATATATAGAAGAAGAAGAAAATATCTTTCAATATCTCTTATTTTATCTTATCATTTTTAATTTCCCTCAAATATTGAGGCAAACTTTTCCATATTTTCGGCGCTATTGCTTCCAATGGGCGCACTCCGTATGACTTCTTTCTGTGGTCCCTCCACACTGGGAACTATCAGTATGGACTGCGATGAAGAGCGCAGGTTCTTTAAGGATAAATGTTTGGAAATAAGTTCTTTTTAAGATATTCATGTGCATACAGCTGTATTTCAGGCTATCTACGAATAAATGTTATTGAATCTCTCACTATTCGTCTCAAAGGTAATTTTTTTTTTTTATGAAAAGGTGTTACGCAATGGCTTCTGTTGTGAGAAATTAATCTCTTGTTTTAAGTAATGGCTCGTTCACACAGTGCACAACAAAGGATGATACCATAGAGAAATAGAATAATAAAGATATGACACGCAAAAACAGTTGCCAATTACAATTAATAAGATTTAATTTAGTAATAATACAATTATAAAACAAAAGAAATATAATTACAAATCATCAACTTACAGAGTATGGGAAAATCTTGTACCGGTTAACAATTAGTACTTTGTGCCAATTAATAATGATGAATGATGAATGCGAAATAAACACATATGAGCACACAAAGAATAATACAATTGTATCGTACATTTAATAATATATATCTGAATCTCTTTCGATCAATCTCTGAATCTCCTTTTTATATCTATGCGTCGGTAGAACCAACGCTTCTAGAAATGTCTATCTTTCTGGTCAACTATCGAAGTTTTTCCAAAATTCTATTGGAATATTTTAGTTATTTTTAGTTGATAATTGTTGAAAACAGCGGCTAGATGAAAGGACAAATAGGCCACGCCCAACGCGCAAACCGTCTCATGTGGGAAAGTTATGTAAACAAGTTCTACATAACACAGGGTATCCCACGTGACGTGTCATTGCATATAAATATATATATATATATATATATATATATATATATATATATATATATGTATGTATGTATATATATATATACAATATATATTTGAGTCTATTTCTTTATATTTTTATGCATTTTATCTTTCTATTTTACATATATATATATATATATATATATATATATATATATATATATATATATATGTATGTATATATATATATGCAAAATCTATTTGAGTCAATTTCTTTACAGTTTTATGCATTTTGTTTTGAAAGATAGTAGTTGGTGTGTCCGTCACGGGTTTTCTAAATGAAATTTCAGATTTGAATTTGCCACTATTCGAATTAGGTAATGAGCATACCGAATAATTTAATGGCATGTAAATTTACGAATTCTCGTCGAATCTAGACGAACCTGAATTTGTTTTTGTTTTTTCTACCAGAAGACATTTCATGACGTGGAGATGTCATCAATCTATTCTCTTGGTTTAAATTCTTTTTATTAAAACAAATGCATTTTTATTTTATTTATTAAAACTTCAAACTCTAAAATAAAATTTTAAAAAAGACAATTGTACAGAATCCATTTAACTCATTGATGGAAACAAGAATGCACAAGAAGTTACAACTGATGATGCATGAAAAAAGAGTAGAGATAATGCCCAGGCGAAGAAACGGGACACATTGATGAGACTTACTTTCAACATTAGTCGCGTTAACATTCATCAATTATCTTACGTAGGACGCATTTTCATATACATACTAGCAAAGAAAACCGGTTTTTCTCGGGTTCTTATTTGGAAAAAAAAATATCATAAAGCGCAATAATATCTTTTTACATTATACTACCCTGACTGATTCCCCTCCTCTGACCGATAAACGATCTTGCAGGCTGCCGTCCATGGTTTGCCTTGTAAAAGTTATGGGGTGGGGTGGGTGAATATACATTGGTGTTCTTTTATTTCATAAATGTATTTTATTTTCATGTCATGATTATGTCTCTTTTGATAAAATTTTTGTGTACAGCGCGGTGAGCCCAGCCCTAGGCTGGGGTACCGCGCTATATAAGACGTCTTATTATTATTATTGTTATTATTATTATTATTATTACTATTGTACACATAATCAAAAACGATTTTAAGGGTTCTTTTTTTTTAAATCGTAGTATATGTGTATTAAACCACACATTAGATCAATACATAAAGTTTCCGAGCGTCTATATCAGGGGCTCTCAAACTTTTCCCCACCACCACCACTCACTTGCTGGTTTATATTTTTACCTTGGCGCCCCGATCCCCATTATAAGAATCAATTGAATGATAGCTTACGTGACCGTCTGCGGCAGATTAGTGCACAAATCAATTGCAAACTAAACAAATACTAGAGTGTTTAATTAAAATACAAATGAAATATTTACTTTTAGTCATTCAGTAATAAGCTGATTGATTAATTGAAACGACGGACAACACAGATTTTTTTTTAAACTATGATATTTGCGTGAGAAGAGAATGAGATATCTAGCGTCTTCATCGATTATTTTGAATACACCATGTTGTCCTGGTAAGCCAATAGCAGTTTCGGAAAGTATGATTAAACATCTTCTAGCAGAAATTTAATTCACGTACTTTATGTAACCTCTTTGAATGGAGCAAATTTTGACGATAACAGGGGGGGGGTGGTGGGGGGTAGGGGGGGGAGTCGATCCAACCCTAGCGGATCATTTTTCTTTATATTCAGGGGGTGGCACTCTAGGCCAGCTACAGAATTTATTACGTGGCTGGGGGGGGGGGGGGGGGGAANCCTATTGCTCCAGGGACCGGTGGACAAGTTACCTATTGCTCCAGGGACCGGTGGACAAGTTACCTATTGCTCCAGGGACCGGTGGACAAGTTACCTATTGCTCCAGGGACCGGTGGACAAGTTACCTATTGCTCCAGGGACCGGTGGACAAGTTACCTATTGCTCCAGGGACCGGTGGACAAGTTACCTATTGCTCCAGGGACCGGTGGACAAGTTACCTATTGCTCCAGGGACCGGTGGACAAGTTACCTATTGCTCCAGGGACCGGTGGACAAGTTACCTATTGCTCCAGGGACCGGTGGACAAGTTACCTATTGCTCCAGGGACCGGTGGACAAGTTACCTATTGCTCCAGGGACCGGTGGACAAGTTACCTATTGCTCCAGGGACCGGTGGACAAGTTACCTATTGCTCCAGGGACCGGTGGACAAGTTACCTATTGCTCCAGGGACCGGTGGACAAGTTACCTATTGCTCCAGGGACCGGTGGACAAGTTACCTATTGCTCCAGGGACCGGTGGACAAGTTACCTATTGCTCCAGGGACCGGTGGACAAGTTACCTATTGCTCCAGGGACCGGTGGACAAGTTACCTATTGCTCCAGGGACCGGTGGACAAGTTACCTATTGCTCCAGGGACCGGTGGACAAGTTACCTATTGCTCCAGGGACCGGTGGACAAGTTACCTATTGCTCCAGGGACCGGTGGACAAGTTACCCATTGCACAAGGGACCGGTTTCAAATTTATCAATTGCATTTTTTTAAATCACTCTATATAACTATACATGTTGTACAGACCGTTATCCAAAGGAAACACTTGTTTACTGGATGAGCCCCCCTTCGTGGTGGTCACAAATACAATTACAGAGTCTTGAACTCGTTCTTTCTCTCTAGCCTCCACAGGGGCTGACGTGCGGTTAGAGTCATATAAACATAAGGCGTATAAATGTTGCAATTTTTTTTATATTTACTGGCTTCGTATGCAGGACAGGACAAACTGCCTCAGAAATAATCATAAACTTTTCAGAATAAATATAGTTTTTTTCCAAAAATTCCAACACGTACTTTTAAATAGAATATAGTAACAGAACTAATGACAAAAAATAATGCATTTATTTAGTCAACTGCATATCCCCCAAAAAATATTATTTAAAAGAATGTCCAAAAGAATCACAACTGCCGCCCAAACAATCACAACTGCCGCCCAAACAATCACAACTGCCGCCCAAACAATCACAACTGCCGCCCAAACAATCACAACTGCCGCCCAAACAATCACAACTGCCGCCCAAACAATGCTTACGCATTTTAATGTCGTGTTTCCAATACGACAACGTTTCCTGTGTAAGTTCACCTCATGATTATTGGTAATAAAATACATAACAAACCAAAATGCAAGCCATGACACAGCAAAACAATACTAGGCAATCTGTCCGTCACAACATGACATATTTCTCTTCTTGCACGGATCTATATAATATAGCTTGTTTTGCTAAAATTAAGAGATTTCCTAAAATTATTATTTTGGGACGTGCTATGAATTGTGGGGCTGTGCTAGGTGTGTCTAGCAACGGGAGGTCGGGCAACAGCTCTGTATCAGTAGTTTCTAATGTTGTCATTGTAGTAGTGGCTGTTGTTGCCATTTTTGTTGCTGTGGTTTTAACAATGCATGAATTATTCTCTACACCCATGTTCTCGTGTGGGCAGCAAACCGTGTTTTGGTAGCCGCTACATTCACGGCCTGCGTGGTTCTTGAACATGTTGATACCCAGGCCGCACACATCGCACCGACTACATTGAGACTGACAGGGTTTTCCCGGTACGACACTTCTATAGTACCCGTCTTCACACATGATATATGAGTCTCTTGTCTTGGTACAAGGCTCCACAACGATTTCAAACTGAGAACAGATTGAAGAAATGTTATTAGAATTTTAATTACAGTCGGCATACAGTTTTATTTTGTAATAGGATTCAGAAATGTCTAACAAGAAACGTTACTAATAGAATTGACGCGTCATTTGTTTTTTGTACAGTTACCCTGTTATTATGTACTAGAATATATGACCCGGTGTTACTGGGATAATAATGGAAGGGAGGCATGTTGCGCTACTTTCCACCTGTTCTTACGAAGTCTCAACATCTAAAAATCCGACACTTTTAAATATGTAACTGTATCGAGGTTTGATGCATTGTATCCTCAACAAAAAAAAATACCACACATTTCAGCGCCTTTGTATTGTATACTTGGGAAATAAGTAAATAGGCGTTCAATAATTTAAGAAGAAGAATTTTAGTATAGATATTTACATTTCCTACATTAGTGAGTTTTAACTATTTATATTCTTCTAAATACTATGAACAACCCAACCATGCATTTGCAGGCCTCTGATCAAGAACGAAAACAAATGTCCTTTAAAAATTGTAAAAAAATACACGATCTTTACTATATATACATAATAATATATGTATTATATTGAATTTATTTTAAATATGTATTGCAACAACGGATTTTGATATATTGGTATCATCGTTAAAAATTTGCTCACTCTCTGCTTCGCTCCTGAAAGATATTATCCTAAAATCACCTCTGTCCTATACCTCTGTCCTATACCTCTGTCCTACACCTCAGTCCTATGCGCTCCCACCCGATCCCCATTCCAGAACCATCTTTACCTCAACCCCCCTGACTAATACACCCTACCCTATTCCCTATTAATGTCTTTATTAAATCCATTTAAAAGTATAATATATTAATATTGCTTTATACGAATAAAAATTACCCTAAAGATTTAAGAAACGGCAGACGAAAAATCAAGGAAATCCGATCTGTAAAAAAAACAAAGTGGTCTTAAATTGATTTCAAGATTTCACCAAGAGATAAGCGCCCATGAAACAAAATTAAATACACCCGGGTTGTTCTTTTCTTTTAAAGCAATCATAACATACCTTTCGAGACAACACGTTTGACTTACCTGATCTTCTCGAGGTTGATAACATTCCTGGCACGACACGTGCTCTCTGGCCTCCGCCATAGTTCGTGTCATGAACGTCCCGTCTGCACATGACCTACATTCGAACCAGTCGTGGAACTCTCCCTCAGTGCAAACTTTTGGCATCAAGTGCACAACAACTTTCGAAATGCCAAATTTCGAAGAACGTGGTGCAGGTCTTGAGGGTATGTCTTTGTCGCACACATTTTCAAGATTTTCAGCGGACAGTGTCTCCAAAAAGTGGACGCAAATGACCACGACCGTGAAGCACACAAGCCTCATATTATTCATGTATCCAATCACGATCCAATTTCACAGCCGATGATAAGTAAAAAATTTCTGGACTGCATTTTGTATCCACTTGTGATCCATGTGTGAGGTTTTTTTTTAGTATGTTTAGATTAATTAGACACCAACAATTTGTGTGCATAAAGCTAAATATGCTCAGCTTTGATGACGATTTTAGGAAATACTAATGTCAACGTTGCCTCAAATGCCTTCATCGGTACAAAAAAAAAATTTAAATAAGTATAAATTGAATTGACATAATACATTTTTACAAGTATCCTACCCAGCCTACTCATATTCTTTTCTATTTGTTAGGTTTCTTAAAAAGCTATTTAATCTATTCCTGTTTGGCTTTCTTTGACGTCACACAATCCTAAGTAAATATGCGTACTCCTTGGTTAAATTCTTACACTATAGTAAAAGTTATTTAAAATAAATAATCAATGTAACCACTCTTATTTATTGTTGCTGTTGGTCCTCGGGAATTTAAAATATAAACTATAAATAAGCTCAATTCTCTTACCTGGACATTTGAAATGGATTTCTTAAAGAGCTTGCGTTGTTCACTTGAATGAATTAAACTGAAACATAATTCTTCGACACGTGTTGCGGTCCGATAAATTGAAACACGGTCTCTATATTCACCTTTTAAACATACGACTGAGTGAAAAGTAAATAATTGAACGTTTTAAATAGTAGCTTTATTTTAAACATCTAAACATATCAAAAACATTCATGTTCTTGGTGCTCTACACAGCTAATACGTAGCTCGTATTTATAACATTTTTTTTTATATAAATAAGACTGATAGAAATATATATTATCTGGAAAGAAGCATTGGAAATTTCCCATTTTATCAAAATGCGCATTAAAATACTTAGCAATAGCAAGGCGTATATGGACGGGTGACCTCGCTTGACACATGCCTACAAATACGATGCTGATATTGGATATATACAAATTTGTAACAGGTTCAGAGGCGTAGCGAGGGGGTGGCAGGAGGAGGGGGACACATGTCCCCGGGCGCCAGCTAGTTAGGGGCGCCAAAATGTGCTTTGATATTATTTTATTGATGAAAATAATGGGCTTGAGAGTTGAAAAAAAGAAAAAGGGGCGCTTTAAAAAGGATCTTGTCCCCGGGCGCGAATCTTGTCCCCGGGCGCCAAACACCCTCGCTACGCCTCTGAACAGGTTATGTGGAAATTGCCATATTAAAATACATTTTTTTTAAATTTTATTCTATTTTTCGTGGCTGGCCATCTCGGTTATTTGACGTGATCAGCCATGCATAGCATGCCCCTTGTAATATATTAAACATGTGTTAGTGACTTTACTTTGGCTTTATTAGCTATTTCGCATGTCAGTGGGGAAAGGACTCCAATAACAATCAGAGATATTTCGCTTTATAAATATGAGCTAACTAAATCCAATGTGTTGTTCTATTCTTTTTTGGTCGTGGGACGAAGTGGGAAGTGACATGATAGACGTCATTTGTTTGCAAGTCTTGTAGACCACGCACCCCTCCATATAAGACACATTTGATTACTCCGGACTGAATGGGAAGATTCCTTTCCGGCAGGTAATATATATGATTTTTAAGCTCCTTGAAAAGAATTTCTGATTTATGCTTAGCACGCCACATACTACGACCTATACCACACCAGCGCTTAGCTACCCCGCTATACCCTGGGCGAGGAAGACAGTGGTCTTGGAAGATGTTGGAGGAGAGTCGTTAAGAAAATACTCACAACATACATTCGGCATTTGACTTGAACCAGTGCATTGGATGCGGCTGGCAAATACAGGAGGAAGTCATTGTTATCCAATGGACTATTTAGTGAAGGAGACGACTTGCAAAGACAGGGGGGGGGGGGGGGGAAA